CTCTCCCTTCCCCACCCTCTCCCCTCCCTGCCCCTCGACCCCTCCCTGCCCGGGTGCCGGCACCTGCGAGCGCGGGCGCGGTCTTGGGGAGCGGCGGGCGGGACAGACCCAGCGCCCCCGCCCGCCGCCCCGGCGCCCCCGGCGTCGGCGTCTGCGCCTTCCCCGGGGCCTGGGCGGCGGCGGCGGGCGGTCGATGGCCCGGGCGGCGGCATGCGGCTTCTGTTCCTGGCGGTGCTGCGGCCGCACACCGGGAACGCGGTCACGGCCGAGCGCGTCCGGTAGGTGCGGGGACGCGGGGACTGGGGGCGCCGGGCAGGACCCCAGCGCGCCGGGCAGCTCCGGGCCGCGCGCCCAAACGGCTGTGCGGGAGCGCGGGGGCGCGCGGGGAAGGCGGGCGGGTCCTCGCGCGTGCAGGGTGGGTCGGATCCGCCGGGCGCGCGGCGCTGTCCCCCGCAGACCCCCGCGCCGCCGGCCTCGTCTGCCTTTGCTCTGCACGCGAGTGCCGCGGACGGGGCGCGGGGCCGCCCGCGGGGCGAGCCGTGCGAGGATGCTCGGGGAAGGCCTCCCTGCCCGGGGATCCGAGCAGAATCCCATAGACGCGGAGGATGGGCAGTGGCGCTGCGGGGGGGACGGATTTCCCGGCGCAGGGCTCAGCAGGTGCGAACCCGTGAAAGCGCCCCCGGGTCCTGCTCGCTGAAGGAGCGTCCCCTCCCCTCGCATTCTCCGTCCTTCCTCTGTGTACCTGTCTGCTTATCTCAGCACTGATCTCCGTCTGCAGTTACCTGGCTGTATCGCTTTGCTTGTGGATTCTGTCTTAGGTCCCTGGGAAGTGTAGGACGGGGAGGGGCTGACTCATTAATGCAGATCCAGGTGCCGGGTGCCCGGTCTGCATTAGCTGGATAAAGTCATTAGGTGAGGCGGGACACGCAGCAGTGCCGGGATTAGTGTCTGAAGCCGAAGAGAAGCTCTAATTATTTTTCCCCCTTGACACACTGCCTTGCTTCGTGAAATTTCCCAATGCAGTGCCCCTGTGTGGTCTGTTTTCTCATCATTAAGGCTCCACCAACTCTTTCGTGTCCCTTTCGGGTAAAAAGTGTTCCAGTTCTAAAGATCACAAGGGACAATGACCAAGATCACAAGTTAGAATGACCAAGAGAGGGTACATGAGTCTCTGAAGCTTCCCGGACAGTTTACAATTAGGAGTTTCTGGGCGCAGGTGTGTCTTAGATGGAATTAGGGACCTTCCAGCCACTCACTGGGCCAGGTGGCCAGGAAGCCCACCGTGGTCTGAGCTCACCTTCCAGCGTCGGGAGAGGAGTGAAGAAGATGATTTCACAGAGCGATAGGTGCTCAGAAACGTAACTAGATACCGTGAGCAGGAGGCTGGGAGCGGGTGAGGCTGATCCTGCTTTAGATACTGGGGTCGGGGAAAGGAGATGGCCTTGACCCTGAGACCGAAAGGAGGCCCCCACTCGGATCTGGGGGGTGGTCCCAGGAAGGGGCGATAGAACACAGACGGTGGTGCGGGAGCAAGCTGGGTGCGCTAGAGCAGCGGAAGAAGCAGGGCTCGTGGAATATAGTGAATTGGGGCAAGTGCTAGGAATTTAGGTCAGAGAGAGACAGGCGGGATCTGGCTGACTCGTAAACGTGACGGGGAGAGCAGCTCCTGCCAAATAAGTACCTGTTATTTAACCTTTGGCTTCCAACGCCGATTATAAACACCCGCATCTACACACGCCCTCTACAAAGGCCACTGGTTACTTTCGACCCAATTCAGAAGTAAACCAGACAAATAACTGTCAGCTGCTGCCCCAGATTCGCTCGTCCTTTACTCCTGCGCCCGGCATGTTTGCCGTGCGCCCCCGGTGTCGCGTGCCGTGCCAGGCCTTGGGGACACAGAGGGCAACCAGGTGCTCATGGCCGCCGCGGAGGGCTGACTTAGTAGAGCTGGAGTGTGGGGCCATCGGCTATTTTGGCCTCTGTTTTCCTGGCTGTGCACAAAGCATGAAAAAATTTGCTATTCGTGCTCTGGTGTTGGCTTTTGCCATCCTTTACCTGAGAAAGGACTGCTGAGAAAGGGAAAAGCAGAAGTCGCTCAAAGACACTTTCTGTCTTGTGAAAGCTCAGGTTCCTTGAAGAAATGATGCTGGTGTCCTGGGAGGGAGGGGAGGGGGTTCCCATGGCGACAGAGATTCCCTGTGAGCCAATCAGCAGCGAGCAGTGGGAACTGGCACATCTCCTCCAATATTCTCTGCACAAGACTCCAGTGGGCCCGGGCAGTGGGTGGGGCTGGGGAGCCCCCCAAGTGAATACATCATTCGCTTAGCAGAACAGGGCGTCTGAGTCAAGAAGGGGTGGGTTCAGACTTGCACACTCAAGTTGGTGGCTGTAAATGAACACCCCGTGTGTAAGTAATCATGCTACATCAAGATGAATACACTGACATGGGAAGTGCGGGGCCCTCTGGGAACATGCAGGTGGGGGCCTGTCCGGGACAGAGGTCAGGGGAAGCCTTTTGGTGCTTGCAAAGCCCCCTGCTTAGTGCCACAGCTCAGAACCCCTGCTCCAGGTACGGTCTGGAGAGGGAGACAGGGCCCGTGTCACGCAGCACTTTCAGTGCTGTGCCAAGAACAGGATTGCACTGGGAAAGGCTATCGGATTTCTGCGTAGGGGAAGCCCGTGTGGTGCCGGCTGCGGCGTGGAGGGTGGATGGGTGTGGCGGTAGAGGGGAGAGGTAAGCAGGTGGGTCGGCGTATATTTTTTTCTTACATTAGAAATTTAATTTTCTTTTTTTTTTTTTTTTTTGAGACAGAGTCTCACTGTGTTGCTGGGGCTAGAGTGCCATGGCGTCATCTTAGCTCACAGCAACCTCAGACTCCTGGGCTCAAGCGATCCTCCTGCCTCAGCCTCCCGAGTAACTGGGACTACAGGCATGCGTGACCATGCCCGGCTAATTTTTTCTATATATTTTTAGTTGTCCAATTAATTTCTTTCTAATTTTAGTAGAGACGGGGTCTCGCTCTTGCTCAGACTGGTTTCGAACTCCTGAGCTCAAACAATCCGCCCGCCTCGGCCTCCCAGAGAGCTAGGATTACAGGCGTGAGCCACCACGCCCGGCCTAATTATCTTCTTTTTATTTCAGCATATTACAGGCGTACAAATGTTTAGGTTACATATATTGCCTATGCCCCGTCCAAGTCAGAGCTTCAAGCGTGTCCATCCCCCAGAGAGTGCGCACCGCACCCATTAGGTGTGAATATACCATCCCCTCTTTCCTCCTCCCACTGGGTCGGGATATTTAAGAAGTAAAGGGAACAGGGCTTGGGGATTGAACGTGGGGAGTGAGGGGGAGAACACTTATGACTTCCTTCCTTATAGAGGGAAAATATTGGGAAAAAATGGGGAAATCTTGGCTGTACAAGGGTCTTCATAGAAAGCAAGGGCTTCTACAATGTGGTAGGTTTTTAGAAGATGCAGGTGATAGAATAGCAGACAGTGTTTTTCAGGGGAAAATCTGGGCATCAATAACCTGAGAGTCAATGTTACTTTGTGCATCCCTTTGAATAGTCTTCAGTATAAACAGAGTGTGGAGTGTGTAAGTTTCCTTTAAGTGTCACCTAGGAGCTGTTAGTTAGCATTTTAAATACCCTAATCTGGCACTTGCTCTCTAGAGACGTCTCTTAAGCGCTGTAAGTATTAGAAACCCGCATTAGAGGATTTGTTCATTAGCATAAAACATTTCAGACATAATTAGCAGTGTCTAAGGTGTGTGGTTTGCTGGGAAGATGACACAGGCCCTTCAACAAGAAGTCAGGTCAGGAAGCTCACGCCTGCAGAGCGGCTTTTGAAGTTGACAGAGACGTTTGGTCCTCTGTTCCTCTGGAACCCTCTGGAACCCTCTGGAACCCTCTGTCATATGGCCCAACTAGGTTGGCTGGCCTGGCTGTCAGTGTGGTCTGACGTGAACTCTCCCCTTCAGGCAAGCCGCTTAGAGGACAGAGAAGGGCTGCACCCTGCCAGGCTAGATGGTGCCAGTTTCTGCGGGTTTCTCGCCAGCTTGGCTGAGTGTGGACTGAGAATTACTCTCCTTGTAGGGCACACCTGGTGGTGCAGTGGGAAGGGACAGGTCAAAAGGGTTCCCATCCACCCCTAATCCTCTGAGCCTATAAACATTTGTCAGAAGCTCAGGACAATCCTCGCTGAACCTGGCAAATTGGGCGAGGTTAGTTCCTACTAACAATGAAGTTAAAAATTAAAGCAACTCTGGTAAATAAAAAAAAAAAGCAGCTTCATTTCACCTGTGCAGGAGAAATAAATTGCACAAGTAACAGACATAAAAAATGCTCACGTAGCAAGAAAGGAGTGGTTTCAGAGGGTGCCTCCTCATGCGAACATAGGAAGCTAGACCTCGGAATCACTGAAATGATCTTCTAAACCCAGGGTAACACACTAGTGCCCTGCGGTCAAATACGGCCAATGCCTGCCTTTGTCAATAAAGTCGCGGTGGAACCCAGCCACAGCTCTTCCCTTGTGTGAGGTTTGGAGGCTGCTTTTGCATTGCAAAGGCAGAATTGAGTAGTTAGGACACCTCTGTCTCCCTCTGGCCCACAAACCCAAAGACATTTGCTCTGACCAAGTCCAGAAACGGTTTTCTGCCCCCTTGTTCTGAACATACTAACAGACGTTTGCTAATTACTGAGTTCCACGCCCGGTGTATTGTGTGCAGAGCTGCCAGCTGGGGGGAGGGGGTGTACTGGGGAAACGCATGCAGACGGTTACGGAAATCGGAAAACAGTAAAGGGTTAGGGCTTCCTCGGCCCAGAGTGGAGAATTCTGAGGGTCAGCTCAATCCTCAGAGTGCGTGGACAGCAGAATTATCACAGACGTCATTGCATTGATATCTGGACTTCGTGCGGTGGGTGGTGACTGTTCTCTTTCTGCATCTAGAACATAGTTTGCAACCGTGTTTTTATGTGGATGGGAAGCTCTTCAGATAACAGGAGCAAACTGAAGCCCTAATCGATAGTGTCTGGAAAAGGGAGAAAGGAAGGAACGCACAAATCATCCGCATGGAAGGCAGGACTTTCCCTTTAGCGCTCAGCTGCTTTTTGGTGTCTTCGTTCTGAATTCCGTGATTGTCACGCATCTGGAACAGCAACAAAAAAAATGCTCGAGGAAAAGTTTTCATGTTTTCTAGTTTTTCTTTAGAACAGTCAAAGGAAGTTGTGGATGTACATTGAGTGCAGGCGAAGAGAGTATTTCGTTTTTTCCACGTTAAGTAACAGGCATGGAAAGTCAGTTACTATCTCCATTTAACAAATATGGAGCCTCTTCCGTGGAATGCAGCCCTCTGCCCGCGGGGGCAGGCGCCGGTCAGTTACCAGGAGTGTTTGTACCTCCGCTCAGTGCTGAGCCTGGTCGTTTGGAGGAAGGCTCTAGCATCCCAGCACGGAAGACAGATATGATCCGTGCTGTGAAGAAGGGCAGGGTGATGACAGAGTGTGCCCAAGGGAGCCCACCCCGTTTAAGAGGGTGTGGGACCAAGGGACGGCTCCCCTCTGCCCTCCGAAGGTTCAGTAAAAACCGGCTGACATAAGGCAGATTAATAGGCGGAAAGACACACATGTTTATTTGGCCACACTTTTAGTGACATGGGAGCCTTTGAATATAGACCCAAGGACATAGAGGAAACTGTCCATTTGTATTCCTAGGTTCGCACAGCACAGGCAGCCGGGTAGAAATAGGATTGGACACAGAGTGTGATCTAATGTGAATAGACTGAGTGGGAACCCAGCAAGGCCCATCTGTCTAGACTCTTCCTGGCCTCTCTGTGCAGCATCCTTCCTTCTAGGTGTGGGGCAGGACCCTCTCTGGAATGGAGGTGGGCATCTTATGACCTGCAATAAAACAAGGTAGGTCATATAATTTCTTTATGGCCAGTTTTTACCCAGAAAGGCTGGGGGAAAGTTAGAATAGTATTTTTAGGTTTTATGGCTGGCTTTGGGGAAAAGGGGTCTGGTTTCTCGGACCTGCCTTGGGGGAAGAGAGATTACAGTTTCTAGGGCTATCCTGGGGCTGGGGGGGGGTGTGGGGGGTACCGAAGGGCCAGAGACAGGAGGGCAGAAGGTCAGAGAAAAACGTTTACTTCGGAGGCTGTTTCTGAGGTCTTCACTTTGGGGTATCTTTCTCTGAGCCCCAGCAAGGATCTTTGGGAGATAACTTTTTCTTTGCCATGCAGTTTTTTTAAATTGAGATGTAATTCACATCCTATAAAATTCACTCTTTTAAAGCATACACATCAGTGGCTTTTAGTGTATTTGTAAAGTCACACAGCCGTCACTACTATCTAATTCCAGAATATTTTCGTAGAATTCAAACCTTTCTTTTCCATTTATCAGCACTTTTTTTTTGGCTTCTCATTTCTTAGAGCTTTAAGAAGAGATGGAATAGCGGTTATTCACCTATGCTCAGAGCATGTTGAATTCTTATTTTTGTATGAGATATTTTGTAGGCTGAAGTTAGCCAATAGCTGGACTGCCTACAAGCTTCCTTCCTGCTTCTGCTGGTTAGTTGCTATCAGGTTTCCCAAGGGTGGGGCAGAGAAGTGGTGCTATCGACCAACAATGCCCGGATCAGGGTTAACAGTGAAAATGGTCCGGTCAGGATACACCATGGGCTTCAATAGGCTAAGTCTGCGTATGTCCCACACCTTAGCTTTTCTTTATTTGCATAGTGATGTTGCAACATTGTATGTTTAATTACATTGTAAAAAGGAAACAAAAAGAGAGAGAAACACGATCATCCACATATTAGTCTGGTGATGGATCTCACCTATGCCCCAGGGGGATGTGAGCTTGAGGATTTGAATCTAGTGTTTCTTCCTAGGGTCTTTTTTCCACGTGGCTCCTACAGTATCAGCAACTTATTTTATGATCACAGCGCTTGAAGATTCTAGACATCGTCCTTCCTGTCTTCCTCCCCCACTTGTTTCTTCTATTCTTACTCTTATGATTTTGTATTAACACAACATTGCCCTGAAATGCAAGCCAGTTAATCTGTCTGGTGTCCCACTGGAGAAATACTAATAACTATTTCATTGCAGGAGTAAAAAAAATGGCTGTTGAATTGAACTTTGTACTATAGTACTGTCTAGATAGTTTAAGAGATTTTCAAGGGTAATTTTAAGTGTACTTGATTTTCACCTATGTGCTGAGTTTGTAACCAAAACCCTAAGTAAGCTGCGAGGCCATCGTTCGTATTAGTGTAAGTGCAGTGCAGACAGAGGGTTACAGTAGAGAAAGGTTCAAAGCATAATGGCAATTTTGCGGTAGGAATGGGGGCTTCAGAAGAGTTCTCTGGAAGGAGCTGGCATTAGGAAGTGTCGAGTCACAGGCACGGAGGCTCACAAAGGCAGCATGATGCGTCAGCTGTCCTGGTGGAAGGGCGGTGGGCGTGGGATGCACTCCAGAGCTTGCTGGGTGCTGGGCTGAGGTGTTCGCACCTCATCCCAGAGACGCATTCAGCCATTAGTTTATCCTTAAACAGGACAGATACGGGCTGCATTCTCATGCAATTTATAGTCAAATTGGCTACACTGAGCTGTTCGAGAGTTTTGATCAGGGGAGAGACCTGCTGCCATTTGTTTATACACACGCACACACACGCCTCGAACAATTACGAAAGATAATATATGCACACGGTAAAAAAAAAAATCCAACCACATAAAAGGGCATGTGGTAAGAAGACAGTCTTCCTCCCACCTTAGTCTCTGGTTTTCCTCTTTAGACATAATCATTGTTATTTACTTCTTATGTACCCTTCTAGATATTCTGCGCACATGCAGTGTATATACACATAGTAGCCTTCACTTCCCCCTGTTTTCATTAACAATGTATCTTGGTCGTTCTAAATTCCTTCATGGCGATCTGCTCATTCTTTCAATGGCAGAGAACGTGACTGGTTGTATCTACCACAACATATTAATAACTGGTGCCCTACTTGCACTTCGAGGTGGTTTTTATTTCTTTTGCTACTTGAAACACAGCTGCGGTGCCTACTCTTGGGTGAACGCATCTGAACGCATATCCAAGTATATCTTTGGAATAAATCCCTAGAAGTGGAGTTACTTGGTCACAGGGTTTGTGCATTCTAAATTTGCTAGCAGTTGCTGCGTCGCCTGCCGAAGAGGTTGTACCGATTTACTCCGGCACAAATAATGCATGGGGGTGTTTATTTCATCAAGCCTCAGGCAGACTTTATAATCTTTACAGATATTCTAGGGAAAAAGAGGATGACCGCAGTTGGGCACCATTTCTTTTATTCCAAAAGCCCGGTTGTGTTTCTTTTTCCATGGACTGCAGTTTTAAGCCCATCCCCAATTTTTTAATGGTGTTTTTAGTCTTTTCTCATTGATTTATGAGAGATCTTTATATATTAAGCAAACTAGATTTCTTCCTTTTGTAAATATTGTAAATGCTTCCCCCCCGTCCACTGCAAATTCTCATTTGTCTTTTGATTTTGTGCATACTCTTGTCACCAGCAGAACATTCTTTTTTGTTTATCAGATGTGTGTTTTAGATTTTTACCGGCAACTGAACTAAGGTGAGGAGAAAGAGAAATGTTTGAAAGATTGTGTGTGTGTGTGTGTTCTACCTGCAGTACACACACACACACACACACACACACACACACACGTGCATATATATTTTTCAGGTAGAATGGAAAGGCCATGATGTATTTTTTGAGGCTATGATAATAGGTGACTTTTGAAGTCTTTTTAAAGAACTGAATAGCAGAGGCTTGAAAACAAACTTCAGGTACCATTCTCAATTAAGGGACCAGGAGAAAAAAAAGTGGAATTAAAGAAATAGAGAAGGAGATTTCTGGTATAGCAAGTGTCACTGAGGATGGGAGTGTGCACCCCACGTCTCAAAGCTGCCAAAGCCTCCTGGCTTAGCCTTCCTCCCACTGGCCTCGTCCCGGGTATCTGAGGCTGGTGGATAAATGGTTCTTGTCATTGACTATGAGCCTTGTCCTTTAGGCAGATTGCCTGCAAAGGACAATGCAGTAAGTAAGTATTATTAGTGACATTGATTTAAAATCTTAATTGGAGCAGCAACTTGTGGCATATTAACGTCCCCCCCGCATCTTGTTCTTTCTCTGTCTTTTGGATAAAGGGTCCACCTGGAGGCGGCAGGACACGTGTGCATTCTGAAAGATGCCTTTGACTTTGAAAGCCCGTCCGAAATCGCAAACCTCATCTCGGCTGAGAAGTGCGAGGCCGCCTTGGCCCTTCATCTGTACCGGGGAGGCAGGCTTCTGCAAGGTAACCGACTCCTCCTCTTCAAAGTCAAACACTAGAAATGTGGGAAACCAGAAGCACCTGTCGTGTCCAATAA